CATTATCATCTAATATATGAATTGTTAATTTATAAAATGATGATAATTTTGGTTGTCCATTATCAGTTAAAACTAAATTTAATATATATTTATCTTGATATTCTCGATCAAGTTTTTGATTTGTTGATAAAACAAATGTTGAATCAGCAAATGGTCCATGAATTTGAAATGGTAATACTAAATTTGATGAATTTATTTTCAATTCAAAATTATATGGTAATGCATCAAGATCAGATGCAATTAAGTTCGCAATAATAACATTCGTTTGTTCAACTTTCGATTCATATACACCAATATCAATATTAAATGAATCTGTATCATTAATAATATCAATTGTTTGTAATGGAAAATTCCATGAAAGTAATGGTAAACAATCATTGATATCTTCAACATCAATAATAACATATGTATAAAATGGTATATATGATTTATCATGAGCTTGTATAACTAATTTCCATGTTACTGTTGTTTCATAATCTAATGAATGTATTAAACTTAAAAATCCTGTTGTAGAATTTAATGAAAAATATTCAAAATTTCGCTTTGAATTTGATGATGCTAATATATAATTTGGATTTGTTATACATGATGAAAAGATTTTAATTTGAAGGAAATTTTTATATAATTCATTTTCTTTTAATTTAATACGATATGGATTTTTTTCAAACTGACAAATTTGTTCATCCGTCTGTTGTTGTTGTTGTGGTTTATTTAATACTATATGTGCATTACCAATAGATAATTCTTTTTGTTTTCGATGTATATTATATTGATTTTTATTATTACAATAAAATGGTAATGTTATTAATGATTGATCATTAGTAAGATTTATTTGAAATGATAGTTTATATTTTAATTCAATAATTAATTGATAGATTGTTGTATTATGTGGTAAAACAAATTCTAATTTTAATGTATAATTAAGTGGACATATTTGTTTTAATGATGTACGTGTTAATAATTGACATGATGAATCAAGATGGAAATATTTTGATTCTGTTTGTAATAAACAACGTAAAGAATTTGTTGAAGAAAATTTTTCAATAACTAAATCGGAATTTGGATAATCATTTGGATCGATTTGAATTGATGGTAATGAATGTAAATGATGATTTGAAGAGATTAATGGAAGTAGTAGAGAGAATAGTATTAATATATTAATCATGATTTTATAGTTTTATCTGAAAGAAAAATAAATGATCTCTTCAAACTTTTCTTCAAGTGGGATAATTTGAACAAATTATTGTTCTAATTAGTATGAAGGACAGATGTGACCTATTGATTGTTTCATTTCCTGTCAACACCTGAAGACGAAGAAGAAGAAAGGATATGCACATCCGCGATAAATTTCTTCTAATATTTATGATAGATGAAAGTATAGTTTGTTGTCGGAATGATCTGAAATAACATACATAAACGAAAAGAATAGAAGTGTTTATGTGACCGTCGCTACGATCACCTACGATCAACAACAATCTCTATATATATTTCATTCGTTTACTTTGAAGTTCTCTTATATACTCTCTTCTGCTTCTATTCCATTAGGACTGAATGTCTAGAACGAAAAAAAGAAACTAAATTGAGACTAATGGAATAAGATTCAATTGAAGAATAACACTCATACTCTATCCTTTTTATTAATTAAATAATATCATAGGTCTCTCTCTCTCTCTCTGTGTCTCATAGACTGGATTAACCTTGAAAAGAACAACATCAAATATACACACGTTTTATTTGATCAACTGATTTGTTGTCGTATGTTGTTATTAATTTAAATAAGTAAGCGTTCGATCGATTCATTCTACTCGTGTCATTCACTATTACTCAAAGGATCATCTTCATCGAAGAGAAAAAAAAAGAACGAGATGTCGTGTATAAACACATCTAGATGACAAGTAAACTCATCTTTTATTTATGTGTCAAGGACAACTAAACTAGTCTAGAAATCGAAAGCTGAGATAAAAAAAGAACAAAAAAGTGATTATCATGTTATATTAGCATTATTCTAAACAGAGGAAAAAAAATTACTTGTCATATTCAATCAAGAAAAATGATTTTTTATGAAAACTATCCGATTCAATGGCTCTCTCACTGAACATGATCAATAACTAAAAAAAGAAACATCAAGGAAATAATTTATATTATAGAAGAGTTCAATATATGCTGTTTTCTTTTAGCTCTGTTGTCTTAATCGATTTTCACAATGGTGGTCCATCTGTATGATTGATACGTTCATGCATATAAATACAGATGCACAGCGTGACAATCTCGATATGCAATACTGAGATTTAACTGATGAGAAAAAGCTCACTACTGGAGGGAAGTATACATGGAAACATATGTTGTTATCTTTCAGGATGACAAAGAGGATAATAGAGTGTTATCAGAAAATTGAAACATTGTTAGAATGGATTATATTATTTTCTAAAAAAACAAGAGGAAAAATGAATTTAGAAATTAAAGAAATAGTTTCAGTTGATAAATAATTTCCGATAGAGAAAAAAAAAGAATGACAAGAACACCCGCTTTTCTTTCCGATTTACCATAGAATATATCAATCATTTATTCAAGACAATCCAAGGTTATTAAGACTCAGTATTTTTTTTTTGTTTTAAATTTAAAGAGAAATTTTCTTCTACGAAGACAAAGTTGTTTCTATCATATTCTGACATGTCGATTATTGATGTTAGAAATGACCTTTTGCGCTCAAGTTAAGATGCCATCCGGCATGTGTTTACTACTCTGAAGAAACTAAAAATGATTGATTTCATCATCTTTTCTTTTTCTCTCTCTTATTGTTCACACATACCTGTTTTATCTTAAAATATTAATCGATTTTGTTGTAGTACGCGACATAGCTTTATATGGAAGAAAAAGAAGAAAGAACTGAGCAAGAAAAAAAAATGATAATCAATAATGCTTCATTACTCGTGTTGTATGTTGAGTTACATCATATTCATACAAGCATAGCGGATTATTTCCATAGTAAATGCGTGCGCAATAATAGAACAAGATTTCAACATACAATTCAGTCTCTCTCAAGAGTGCTGATCGATTGAACAAACGAACGAACGATGATGATGATGATGATTATGATGATGAAGAAGAAGAAGAAGAGATGATTGAATGAAGAGCCACAAGAAAAAACGAGAAAAGAGAAGCAATAGAATAAAAAGAAAAAAGCTTGATATAAGCACATGAACAAAGAATGTAATGTATAAGCAGCTGTCGTAGCGTGACTTTATCGGAATCGACCGAAAGAAGTTTATTAAAACTGAACTGACTATTAACAATACTATTGTTATATTCTTGGTCAGTTTTTATTCTTTAGTTTTTATGATTATCTTATGTCCTTACATCATACAGCTGTGACATTGTAAATGATCAAAGCTGGACACTTCCTATTTTTTTTCAACTAATTTACCTACATACTGTATAGTATCCCAGTATGGTGCTAGGAAAGCAATTGTGCCATCCAATTAATTTTTTCTAGATCAATGCAAGGACGTGCAT